TTTTTTTATCGGGTCTCCCCCCCCCCCCCCCCCCCCCCCCCCCGAAAAAGCGGGAAGTGATATCGACAGGTAGAGGAAAATGTTTTTGAGCCACCTTTTGTGAAGTGGGAAGGAACGATTGGACATCGGTGATCGGTCCTGTGGGAACAATGCTCCGTCTTCTCGAGGACGCGTGGTCAATAGTCTAACCGCTAAGGCGTGCTAAACGTCAGAGTAAGTCCCCCCCCCCCACCGTATTTTTTGCTTTTGGAGGTCTACCAATCGACGACGTCGAAAGGGAGGGTGGGCAAAGGGGGCGACAATGCCAAGGCCAAGGCAAAGGGGACCAACTTAAAGTGAGAACGCTGTTGATGTTGTTGCTGTCGCTGTTGATGTTGCTGTTGATGTTGTGATGTTGCTGTTGATGTTGATGATGTTGCTATTGTGGCTGTTGTTTTCGAAACACTGAGTGCACAACGGAGAGAGCAGAGAACAATCCATACGAAGCACAACCCAAGTGCCTTTGAATAAGTGTCTGCATCAGCCCCGAGGCTTGCACGCTGCTATGAAAGCGCCGAGGAATGTACGAAATCGAACCTCGGGTTGACTGCATGCCAGGGGTAGTGACGGAAATAGCACTGCAACAGCGAGATGGGTGGCGGCTGCCCACGCGCGAATATATGTACATGTAAGATTTGGTCAGTTTTTGTGCTTCGGCATTTCTTTCTCTCGCGGCAGTGAGTCTTTTCTCGCGGTTCCTTCTCACGGGCACGCAGGAGGTTCGTCATCGTATTAACGCCCATGCGCGGAGTTAGGCAGGCCGCCGTGGGGCTTGTGGTTGACGGACAAAGCCGCAAAAACTGGCTCTATACCCCGGGGACGCGTTTCGCGCAGACAAAGCCTGGCGAACCAATTCTGAAACCCATCAAAAACGACAGAAAGGAAAATGGCCCGCACGCACTTTCGAACACAGGTTTCTCGCTAAATACCAATGACAGCAAGCCGGATAAACCTGATCATATGCCCCCGCAACGAATCCATACTCATGTTGCTTCTTCAAAGCTGGCGCCATCACCTCGGTTTGTGGTATTTCGGGCTGAAAAGCAGTTGTCCGGTTGGCAGCCTTTATGTAGCGAGCATAAATGTATACTTGAGAATTCTAAAATTCTGGCCCTTGCCTGATGTCACCTCCATCATACATCATTCGCTGTTCCACCTCGCTGTGACTCTTCATGTCGTTGCACGCAATGTCCAACAGCATCTATGTTTGCTCGTACACACTTCGCAGTGGGCCCAGCGAAATGCCGCTCGCTGCTGTAGACAAGTCTGAGCGCATGAACCCGCAGTGTTGATCAGTTTGTGTTTATTTGTTGTGTTGTTTCAGATGAACATTCTGTTCTCATTGGAAATCTGCCACAACAAAAGTCATTGTAGAAGTATGATTTTTCCCTAGCAAGTTGTTTTCTGCTCGACCCGACTCAAATGTAGAATACATGCAGGCATGCGAGCGTTTTGTATCTGCCCATCCAAAAACAGCCAGTTGCGGGCAATGCACATGTCGTCTTGCGTCGCCCGCGGGAGGCTTGACACCCACGTCCCGAAGGGAGACCTTGTATATGTATGTGGTTGGCGATTATCCCTATAGGAAGCCAGCGATGTTCATGAAAAGATTCCGGAGTATGTATTGTTTGGCGAGTTTTCCCTAGGGAGCCAGCGACGTTCATGAAAAGAAGTCTTGTGCAGCGGATAATAAGCCCCCCCTGTAGGGAAAACATTTTTGAGCCACCTTTGGCAAAGTAGGAAGAAACGATTGGCAATTGGTGATCGGTCCTGTGGGAACAATGCTCCGTCCTCTCGAGGATGCCTGGTACCCGCTGAGGCGTAGAAAACATAAGAGTACACCCCCCCCCCCTCTCGACCACGGCTAGCGCATGGCTATGAGCACACACACACACACACACACACACATGCCGCCCCCTCACGGGGTCCCAGTTAATGGCATTTAGACGTGTTTTTTGTTTTCACCCGCACTGAGACTGGCGTCTTTTCATTGGTCAGCCGGTTAGCGCGGTCGATGCTAATAACATAAAAAAAGCACACAAACACACACACACACATCCTCTCGTTCGCGTACCACTCTCTCTCTCTCTCTCTCTCTCTCTGCAGGACCAAGCCAACGGCTGGAGGACCGCCGGTCCCGGCAAGTCAAGATTCTTCTTCCTCGTCTTCCCAGTCGGGGAAAACGATGGGCTTTGGTCTCGCTCTCGGTGTGTTCTCGAAGAAGGCCGCCGGCGCTGACGAGGCCGCCGCCGGCAAGGGCGGTGTTGGCGACGATGACAACGATGGGGCCCTCACGGACCTGCTTCTTGTGAGTGATGTTGGTGTTGGTGGTGGTGGTGGTGGGCGTGCGTCGAAGGAGTTGGTGTTGTTTGTTGATGGCGTTTTGTTTGTTTTGTCGCTGTAACGGTGGTCGTAGTGTTTGGTGGTGGTGGACGTGCTTCTTGGGAGTTTGTTGTTGTTGTTGTTGTTGTTGTTGTCGTAGTGATGGTGGTGGGCGTGCTTCATATATGTTGGTGGTGTTGGTGGTGGTGTGGATGGCCGCCTTTTGATGGCTGTTGTTTGTGGTGGCGTAATAATGGTGTGTGTGCCCGCCCTCCCATATCCGAAACCATGCTGAGTATTGAATATCAACCACGACAAGCGTGTTGCATTTCACAACCCCCGTGCATCCACGTCCAGATCACCTCGTTTTCGCCGATCGGAATAAGCCCCATTCGCCTTATTCGTGTTTGACGAGCACACACACCAATCCCTGCACCCGGGGTGCATACACGAGCACCCCCCAGAGTGTGCATAATATAGGCTCCCCTCCATGCGACTTCTCTTGCCGAACATGAGGAGCTCCGTTCGTCCACGCCTTAGACAATGGGCGCCTCAACCCGCTCTGCAGCCAGTGTATGCATACCGCAAGGTGACGTAGGGTATCGCACCCCCCCTGGAGCGTTTTTCAAAGCCCGAATTATCCGCAGCAGAAAGGGTGGCGGCGTCGAAGAATGTCGGCGTTTGGGGTCCACCGCCTCGTGCGAGGGATTTCCGAAAGCGTATCGTTTGGCTCGTATTTCCTCTTCGTCATACGAGTAGAGTTACCCTGAGGACGCGAGAGAACGCACGGGGTTGTCAGCGTGTTGGTAGTGCGATTTCTCCACAACCAGGAGGGTGTGTACCACTGCCGACCGGGGTCGTTTTGGAAACTTCACGTCGAAGGCTTTCCTGAGAGGTATCGGTCGGTGTGGTGTTCGCACCCCCCTAGTTGTGGGGCAACCATCAAGCTTTGAAAAACGCTACGTAAGACCCCCCGTGCGATCTCTCGTATCCTTTCGGTAATCGAGCTTTAAACGCCGGTCCGGGGGGGGGGGGGGGGGGGGGACCCTTTTTTTTTTGCGGGTTTAACGGGTAAACCCCTGAACCCCCCCCCCCCAAAGGAAGGGGAATTTTTCCCCCAGGACCCAAACCCGGGGGGCAAACCTTCCTTTCCATTTTTGCAAAAGGGGGCCAAAAAATTTTTCCCCAAGCTGTC